CACTGTACTCAAACTTTAGCTCAGACTACGTATTCAAAAATATCCTTTTATTAAATATGACAAAATAATTCATTTTCATATAACAAAATAAAATATAACGAAAACTGTATTATACTGCATAATCTAATGCAATTAAAAATCTAGAACCCATATCTCAGACTGTATTCAAATTAGTAGCTCACTGTACGCAAATTTTGGCTCAGACTGCGTGTTCAAAAATATTCTCTTATTAAATACGATCTTAAAATAATATCTGTTTTGAAAATAATCGGCAATTAAAATTAATTTATGTATTTCAATTATCTATATTATATTTTACAAGATTTTTCCAGTTCATGAACAGGTATACATATAATCTAATAAATAACAAAAACAAAGAAATGAAAATAGCAAAAGAGAATACTGGGTACATACATTACTCAATTGATTATACATACTGTAAAACAAAAACAAAAAATGAAAAGCGAAAAGCGAAAGAGAGTAAAAAAAGAGTAGTAATATTTTTTTTGTTTTTTTGCTTTACTACCTTAAACAAAAATAAAAAGCAAAAGGAAGCGAAATATTTTAAATGAGTTAAGTAAGAGTAAAATAATTTTTTGTTGTTGTATTTAACATGGAATGGAATTAAAAAAAATAAAACTAAAAATTGTGAGAGATATAAGAACACGAATAACGTTACGTTACGTACTTATCTAGATAACGTTGTTTAGAAGGAAATTTTTCGTTCTTAATTGTTAACTAATTCTTAATTTGAATTTTAATCATATCTATGTAATTAACAGTGACACATATTACATCTTAAAATTTATTAAATTAAAAATATTTCCATTACTTTTATTTATCATTAGTATTCAAACCAATATGATATTTATGCATATACAAGTATATACCTGCATATGTATGCCATAATATGTACAAATTTTTCTAAACTTATTTTAAAATTGATTGCCACAATCCTGTTTTTACAACAGATAATACTGCTTATAAGCAAACCACAGGGGCCCCTAGTAAGGTATATATTAGAACAAAAATTTAAATTAAAATAAGTAATTGCTAAAACCAAGTATTTCTAAAATTAATTTTCAAGTTTGTATATAGCAATTTTGCAATAATGATATAGTGTTGTACGAATTTGTATGTTATTAAGTTCTGGCTTCTAATTAATTTTTGAATGTAAAAAATTTATAGACACGATGTTTCGTATAAGGTGGCAAATAATTTTAGAGATAATTATTTGATCAATTTCCGGAAAAAAATTGTATGTGTGGGCAAGTGTAAATATGCTCGTTTTTGAGGTACACATACTTCCGAAATTCAAAGCATTTATTTATATGCAGAAGAAATTTGGTACCTTTTTTTTCCAACAGGTTATAGCTCGAAAACGAGTATATCTCCAAGCTCCCCCCCCCCCCCCCCCGACTCAATACAATTTTTTGGTGGAAATTGAACAAACAATCATTTCTTAAATTATTTGCCACCTTATTCGAAACACCCTATATTTTATATAGATTAATATGTTGCGTTTTATACGCGACTAACTCAATATTACTCAAAATTTGCCATCGTTACACCCTATATATAATTTTGAATATTCCTTTTTATTTTTACATAATCGCACATTTATACACATATTATTATATATTAATGCATAAGTACTGAAAATTATTACTTTATATGTACTCGTACTTATATTTTAATTCAATTTGTATGCAAACATTTTTTTTTTTGGTTTTTTTTTGTAAAATTTTTAATATGTATTTATTTACATTCAATATTATCCAAATATATATATATACAATATATTTCCATTGAAAATATGATTCATTCATTTAATAAAAATATTGAAAGAAAATATTTTTTTAAAATAAAAAATAAAAATAAATTTTTAAAATACAAGAGAAATATGATGATAATAGCTTCATTCAATATCTTTGTAGAGCTCATATACGAGATACAAAAAAAAATATATTCGGTAGAAAAAGAAAAAGATAATATTTCAATTACATTTCAAAATTATAAATAAGGTTTTTTTTTTTGTTTCTTTTAGAGTATAATATAAAATGTGAGGTTCAGTTTTACATTTTCATCCTGATAAAACATTAATGTTTGTGTATAGCATTGGATATTGGCATTATACGCGTACATTTAAAAAATTTTTTTATCGTATTAAATTTTCTCATTCATAATGAAATACGAATTTTTTATGAATGGATTTTTTTGGTATACATATAAGTATTTTATTTCAAAATAAAATATTTTTGTTTTTGTATTATGACCGAGGTCATTTTGTTATTTTCTTTTACTTAAGTTGATCAGCTTTTTTATAATAATACAAAAATTTTTGCTTAAAATAATTTTTCTTTTCAAAAATATTTTTACAAAATTCTTGGGAAAAAATCAATTAATTTTACTACATAAATATTAAAGGAATCTGTTCTATATGTGAATCAAAATTTCTAGTAAATGGAGGATACAAAGCTAGCTGACAATTCTATAGTCGTTATTGAATAAAAAAATAAATGCAATTAATTAAACACTATATATTTCAGTTTTTAAGGCCACATTTACCTACATAGAAATGAATGAGAGTATAGCTTATGCAGTTGCGGAAAAAAACGTCCCGAACTCTTTGGGTTTTATAACCAATAATTATAAAAATATATGAAAAAATATGAAAATAAATAAAGTTGAACTAAAAATAAAAAAAAACTGCTTATAAATTTGGATTTAGTGCTCTTAAAATTTGGATTTAATGTTCTTTACTCTTGAAAATCAAAATTGGGCACTCATTTTAAATATTTATAGCAACATCTTTTACAGTTTAAAATTCCTTAATAATCAATAAGTTTTTATTGACTATTAGACAAATTTGGGAATAATTAGTATACTAATAATAAACCATCGCCTGGATTATCCATTACTGCATTTATCAAGTAATTTCAATTTATATGAGACAATTATGTTTACATGAGTCAATTATTGAAGACTACAAAAGCTAGAATTTAATTATTTATTAATATTTGAGTTAAACCAAGTATTTAAAATTGTAAAATTATGATTGTGTGACTCTGGTGTTTTTTTTTTGGAAATTACTATAAAGCACCCAATATTATGAATTACTTCCTTATAGAATTTCGGAAACTTTAATAAATCAGTTTTGTATTTTCATTATAAACAAAAATTTTAATTTAAAATCAAAATTTTTGGTTTCAATAAAAATGCCCAGAATAAAATCAGTTCTAGATCTTTTTAAGAATTTTCAAATTTATAATAACACATTATATAACATTTTCAAAACAAATATCCGTCTTCTATATGAATAAATATTCTATTCAATTCAAAATTATACAAGACAAAAATGAAATAATATAAAATCATAAACCCAATATACCCAATATGTATAGCCAAGCCTCACATTAAAATTAAATTTGTACAGCTGTATTAGGAAAAATTTAAATTTTTGCCCAAAAAATTTTACATTAAAAGTGGAAAATATATAATTACACACACATAAGAACTTTAACATTAACTTGTATGTAAACAAGAACAAATGTTACACATGTACACACTTTGGTATAAAAACATGTATACATATATGAAAAATTATTTATGACATAAAATAATGCGTGATCTTACACAAGAGTATCCACCTACAAATCATTTTTATATATACATAAATTAAAATGAGAAGAGAAAAAAAAACCGAAAATATACATAACCATTTTCCGCGGTAATTTAATATTTTTGAAATTTTGCACGTATTTAACATTAAAATAATTTTTTTTTGAAATGAAAATTTTTAATGCAGATATTCTCAATTGAGAATCACGTTTTATAATTTCCAAACATAAAATTTTTTTAATTTTTATTTAAAAATTTCTTTTTGCATATTAAATTTAAATTTTCATTCTAAAAAAATTTAGTTCATTCATTTAACATATTTAATGAAACAGAGGATGAAAGGAAGCATTCTAAATTTTTACATTATTTATAATAAATTTTTTAAAATTCATGTTTATTTTATTTTAAAGTATAAATAATAAATTATTTAATTCTACGAATTATTACGAAAAAAATTCATAATTTATTTTATGTTTAGCATAAGCAAATCTCAAAATATAAAGAAGTTTTTTTATTAAGAATATATTAATAAATCTTGCCACTCCTTTACGAACTGATAGCAAAACACGCTGCATCCGGTACATTTATTTCATGTTCTATTGATGGCATCATAAATTCTATTAGAATTACGTTACGTATATTGGTTGTATATTGTTATAAATAAGATGAAACATGAATTTAAAAATTAATGAAAAAATTTGATGCACTCAGCATTGACCCAAATTTTTAATAAGTTAAACCTTATTAATTTAACAAAAGACAAAAAAAATTGATATTAACAAAACTAATTTAATAAATTCTTATCAAATTCTGTTGGAAAATTTGATTCTTATCAAATTCTGTTCCGTTAAAAATTTATAAGCTTTAACTAGTATAAATTAGTAGATTCCAAGGGAACCAAATGCGACAAGAGGGCATATATCCCTCAAACCACCCCAATCATTTCCGACTTATTGTAGCCTCCCTATACTCCAATTTCAACTGATATTATGTTTCCTCCAAAAATGTAAATTTTTTTTCCTCAAGAGGCTCGTTAGTTCGTCAATTTGATAATTAAAGCAAAAATCAAAAATTTCAAAATCAACAACTTACTTCGGAGTTGTCTGACGTAACCAATATGTAGAATAATTTCCTTAAAAATAATTAATAGCAATTTAATGAACTAAATTAATTGATTTTTAAATTCTTATTGCAATTAAAATATTTAACAAAATCACCTGTCTTTTATATTCTAATTGTAAAGCTAAAATAAAATTCTATTATTATTCTGAAATTTGTAATCCTAAAAATATAGATTCTAATTTTCTTTAGAACAATAGATTCTAATTTTTATAACCAATTAGAATTAATTTTAAAATTATTTACTAAATTGACATAAGCCTTAATTAATTTTTTTATTATATTTTTTATAGGTATAATTAATTGTGAACAACAATCAGGCAATCCACGTTTAGAAATTTTACCAAGACAAGATATCCAAAGAAAACCAGTAGGTAAATCATTAATGTTAACATGTAGAGCAACAGAAGCAGATTTAAATTTGGTAACAGATTTACAATGGCGTGATCCACTTAATAATACAGTATTGGCAAAATCGTAAGTATTTTTATATTATTTTAATTATTAATTTTAATTTTTTGGAAAAAAAATTTCTAAACTAAAAATTTCGCTTTTGTTTATTAAAAGAAAAAAATGTAAAATTTTGGAATAATTTTTTTTTTAAATTGCAATAAATAAGAAATTTTTAAAAAATATTGTGAAAATAGGAAAAAAAATATTAAATATTATAAATGTATACACAAAAAGTAACTAATATTATATTAAAAATTTAAAAAATTAACACATTGTAAGCCGGTCTAATAAGAATAGTCAGTAATATTTACTTGTTCTTACGGTTTCTTCAGAGGGTAAAGACAAGACAGTTTTAATAAGATTTCAATTGTTTTTCATAATTCAGTTGTAACTTATCCAACAAGTCTTTCGACATTGTCTGCAACAATATTTGCTTAATCATGAATTTTTTTGGTGCAGAAACTTGTACGAAAATTGCTTTGCTTTATAAACTTTTAAGCTTTTATTATCAAAATATTATGCAACAGTAAAAATTTCAATTCTAAATTTTTTTTTTATATTTTACATATTCATGACCTTCAAAAAAAAAATTAATTACATAATATTATTAATTATTTAGGCCAGCAATTTAATGATTACGTCTTCTTATACAAAAATTCATAAATATTAAAAAAAATACTGCTTACTTATATTTGTATCACTTTGTATTGTGCGATAATTTTTAAAGACAGTGCAAAATGTTAATTTGTATTTACAATATTCGGAAAAACTTGTTTACGTTCCCATTATATAATAATAAATATTTTCATATAAACGCAATACTACAAAACAAATTATTGAAAAACGTAATACTACAAAACAAATTATTGAAAAACGTAATACTACAAAACAAATTACTATAAAATACAATACTGCAAGCATATAACGTAATAAATATGCAATATATTAATAAATATTCTAAAAAATAAAAAAATATAGTTCATAAAATTAAAATGAGCTTTTCATACTAATTTCACGATATTAAGAAAATAATCATAATGTTTATGAACAAATAGCGTTAGCAACATTTGTTTATAAACACAATTATAACGCAGTTTTCGCTATATATATCACGATATGCTGCGTTTATGAAAAATTCTTATTATATTAATAAATTATATAGGTTGATTCATAAACATATACAAGAACATATACCATTGCTTGGTATTACGAAAGTACATAAAATAGATAATCAAATAACATGTTGATTTTTAGCCTATTTCTAAGGCCATTCAAAAAATATTTCTTTGAAGCCTCTATCTTTTTCGGAACGGAAATTATAATCAAAAAAAATTTTGTAAAAACTTCAGAAAATCAAATAGAAATTTTGTGAAAATTCGTTAAAATTCCTGTAACTTGAAAACATTAGAGATTTGGCACCTAGTCCGGAACAAAAAAATGGGTTTATACTGTTGTAAACAATGGGTTTATACTGTTGTATATATATACCATGTGTGAACCAGCATGTTTGTCACTTGAAATTATTCTAAATTATTTGTAAGAATTTCACTACAGAATCAGTTGAATCACATCAGTTGAATTCTCAATCACATTGAGAAATCGGAATCAATTCATATTTTGTGAATTCTAAAAATTTTTTTGTGAAATTAGTGTAATCATACGGGTCTAACATCTAAGAATGACCATATAAATTTTATCTTACTTCAACTATTAACAATGTGTTAATTTTAATATACTTACAAAAATTATTTACGCATATATATATTATGTATTATTATTAATATTATTATTCAAGTATAATTAGTTATAATAATTATTGGCTAACATTTTTTAACTTAAATTAATTAAAAATAAAAAAAAATTTTAAGATTAATATTATAATTTTTTTGTTTTAAATTTAAAATATTTTTAAATTATTGAATATTTTCTTTTATTTTTTTATTGTTTTTGTTTTTTATTCTTTTTGTATACGTCTTTGGTTTCTATATTAATTATTATTAATTTACTATAATTTTATTTATGTGTATGTGTATATTAATTAACTATTATTACAAATTATTTAAAGAAACAAAATTTTTACTAATTTAATATTGTAATTTAATTTTTTTTTTTTATTAATTTTTTAATACAAATTATTTTTTAATATTTAATTATTAAAAAAAAAAAACAAAAAAAATCTATTTTCGAATTTTAATTATAATTATTTATAATTTTTTTTTCTTTCTTTATTTTATTTATTTTTAATTAAAATACATTTAGGGACAAATACATACCACTATATGATACCACGGGTCGCATCAGAAAGAATCTGACGTCGTAAGTTTTGCATTAAAACAAAACAAACCACAGAAATAAATTCAGAAATTGAAATTTATTTATTTTTTTTTTGTAAACTACGAAATGAAACGAAAAAAATAGTCACCCTTACACAAAAAAAAAAAAGCAAAAGTTTAAGAAAAAAAAAATAACAGTTTCCATCTTCAATAACGCAATTATTTTCAAAATGGAGTCAAAAAAAAAAGCAGAAAAAAATAACCATGCCTCGTAAAACAAAAGCTGAAAATTTTGCATTTTCATATTAAATTTTTCCTCATTTTTTTTTTTCGTTTTTTTCTGATTTTTTACTTATTTTTTTCTTTTATTAAAATCCTTACTTTTATAAATTCATTTATTTTTTAATTTTTTTCATTGTTTTAATTTTTTTTTTGTTTCTACATATATTTTGTTTTATAAGTAACATTGAATTTGGCGCATAATTTAAAATTAACCAGAACAAAAAAACAAAATGCGAATTTTAAAAACCGCCATCATTTCCTATTAAAAAAAAACTTTTGGTTAATCATTTCACACACATATTTTTTTTTTTAATTCTGCTGGCTATTTGTTTTTTTTTTTTTTTGTTTAATATTTTTCTGAAAAACTTTTGCAAAACTGTTTTAATATTATAAACTATATATTGTGTATGTATTTTATAACCCCATTATACGTTCAATACATACACAATCCAATCAATCATTATTAGCACAAAATTTAAAAGCAAAAAAGTGTTCTAACTTTTATAATGCAAAAAATAAACCAAATATTTTTTAATTTCATTCATACTATTATTTTTTCTTCTAATCTTCATATTTAAACCCATATTGCATTTGAATAGTTTTTTCAAATAGAGAAGTGATTTTTAATATTACACAGTGATTTAAAATATAATGGATTTCTAATAATTTGTACTTTTATTAGTCTTAATAATGGTAAAAGGAAGAATTATATTATTGATAAATATCACATATTTGTGAGAACAATAGCATAAGTCAAAATGCAGAGCCACAGACTTGCTTTTATTACTAATAACAAAATACAGAAAAAAACAAAGTAATATAGAAAATTTGTTCATATACTTATAGAATAGTTCTATACAAACGATAATAATTTACACTCAGCTATAAATACTTTAAATTCCGAAAGTCAAATTTATATTTTTGAGTTGTATCGTTATTCTTCCCAATGTGTGATATTACGCATTTTCACGGTTTTATTAAACAAAGAGAAAAATTTAATTCAATATTTTCACAATATTGTTGCTGCTTTTTTATATCCGTACTTCAATAGTAGTTCAAACTTCAATAGTAGTTTTGCCATATCTTAAAAAATATTGAAAAATACTGGAATTTTACATAAATTTATATGGTAAAATGGCAACTTAAAGTCATAGCCGGCCCCATAGTCAGCTACAAATAAAATAACAAATTCGTACGGGTATCACAAAGTTGACATGATCAATTCTATTTTTTCACGTTTACCCATTAATTTATTAAAAATTATATTAACCCAATTAATGCCAACGTACATTTCGTGACTATTCATACTGTTAATTCATATATAAGACTGTTAAGGTAAATTGATCGAATTACTTTTTGAATGAGCTTTTTGCAACAATTTTACTCGCAAACAATATTAGTATACACTGGAAAAAAAATATTACTAATATACGGGAAAAAAAATTCAACTATTTATTTATTAATTTCTCTGATTGTGATTCATCAACAACTTAAATTTTAAATCTTATTCTTAAAATATATCGTATAATCATGCTTCTGAATAATTTCCAATACGAATTTCTCTAAAATCAGTACAAATTTTCATTATTTTGCAGCCCAAAAATTTTAAATGAGAAATTTCGAAATCACTTCGATTTGAAATCTTATAATGTAAATGGTTTAAATATATATACATAAAATAATTTTTTTTTATTTTGGTTAAGTTTTCTAAATTTTTATTTTTTTTTTATTTTTAATAAAATGAGTGCGATTACTACATCATAACTATACCTACCAATTCTTATTCATTATGCTGTTTTATTTAATTTATTATTTTTTCTTTATAATACGCAAAATTAAATAAAAATTACACAAAAATCTAAATTCATTAATTTTAATAATATTGTTAACCCTTTATTACCATTACTTTATATTAGAATCCACATATAGTGATGCACAAAAAAACAAATTATAAAAAGAGTGGTTGGTTAGTGTTCTTATAATCGTTTTTTTTCTCTCTCTCTCTCTTCTTTTTTTTTTTTTTTTGATTTTGCAGGTGTTTGCCTTATGCAGAACAAAATGATGCTTCAATGTAAAATTTAGTACATTATAATTAATAAATTTTAATAAGTATATTTCCTCAAAATATAATGTAGTGCCACAAGAATTTAATTGTGTGTGTGTTTTTGTTTTCTGTAAAAATATAGAGATTTTAGTAGAAAGTTGAAAATGTAACTTGTTGCAAATCAAAGAGTTTAGTATATTTGCTTCAAATATATTATTAATGTAAATATAAAAAAATTCTCTTATAAAATTTATTTTTCTCACATAATATGTTGTTTTACAAAATGTATTAGTAGTATCAATATTATAGGCTACAATACATAAACACATATACCATATGAAATCCCTTGCAAAAGGTTTAATTGCAATGTGAAAAAGCGTATTACAAATCACATACTTTCATATACAAAATCCACTTACTTTCCAATTATTCACACGAAATTCTGTGAAAGGTAACAATTATGTTAAATTCATTGCTTTGTTAAATTTTAATTAAACTGGTCTAAATCGAAATTCTCCTGTAAATTTTTTTTATTTTTTTGTTTTTTTATCGGAATAATACCGGAATTTTTGAATAATTGAATTGAATTTGAATTACAAATGAATAATGATAACGTGTGATTGTTTATCTTTAATTAATTTCTTTATAAGAATAGAAATTTTATCATACAACTGCGGAACAAGTGGATGATGTAACCAAAGAAACGAGTCTAGGTAGAGAAATTTATTAATAAATTTTTCTCCTTGAACTGGATTCAAACCACTGATCTACTTATTTCTAAGCGGACGCTCTGCCAACTGAGCTACAGAAATATGAAGAAATTACCGGCAAATTTTTCTCCAAATTGCTTCTACAGTAATCATCATGATTACCAAATATTATTTATACGCGATAGCTACATGCAATTGTAATTTTTTTTTGAAGCACACAATCACAAGAACATAATTTGAATATAGAATCTTGTCTCTCACACCAATGTTATTACAGATGAATATTTATAAAGTATTTAATATCACAAATTTTCTATTTTAACCAGATATAATTTTTATACATTTTAAATTAAATTCAGAAATATTAAATTATAACCCCTTGCATACTGAGTTTAAAATCAAATTAAATTCAAATTAGCTTTTATAATTTAAATCTCTCTGTATATGCTTCTATATTTTATAATTTAATACCTTAAAATTATTATTATAGAAGATTACCATAATATACAAATTATGAAAATATGCAATTTATTTACATAAAATTTAATAATATTTAAAATAATAATTTAAATATGAGCACAATATTAAAAATATGAGAATGTTAAAATTTAATAAATTTAATGCAAAATTTTTAATTATATTACTAACTATATAATCATATAAATAAAATAACATTGTACATTTAAATATTGTGTACAATATTGGTTACAAATTGTTTATTCTTTTAAATAATTCCATGCTCATAAATATTATATTACGTGTATTTAATTTAAATATTATTTAATAATTATCATTATTTTCATATAGAAATTTTTATATGTATAAAATATTCCTTGTAACATACATACAATATTATTTTCATTATTAATGAAATAAATTTTTTTTTATATAATTAAATGTATGTATATACAATATATGATTAAATTTTCAATTTAAATTTTAATAATAATTAAATTTTAAATATTCATTCAATTACAATTTAAAATATGAAATTAAATATTATTATATTCAAAATAATAAGATTATAGACGAATACAAATGTAAATTTATTATTATTGTTTGGACGAATGGCAAATACAAAGAGCATTTTATTAATATGTATAATTAATTCATGTAGCATATAGTTAGATAAAAATAAAATTTTATATTTAAATAATTGTAATTTGTGTCAAATATAATATATTTAAATATATGCGCATGTTTATGCAGGGTGTTCCGTATCAAAGTGCACTATTATATACCATTGTAAAGGACCTTATGAGTAGACAATACCAAATATGATATTCTATGGCAAAATCATTTTTGCAAATGTGAGGGAAACTCTTTTGTTAAGTTGAACATTTGCATAATAGAAGAGAGACACAATTTTGTACGGTTGTTTTAAATTTTTCTAATTTACAGTACTCTATTTTTCTCAATAACTCCTAAACTAGATTAGATAGCATGATGACTCATATTCCAAATTCAAGCTGAGTTCTCGGTCAATCAGCTAAAATTGGAGAAAACTCTAATGTTACATGTCCTGGAAAATTAATGTTTTTTAAAAATGAATAATTAAACTATCAAGTTTTTCGAAATTTAAAGTGATTTGATTTCAGAATCTCATCAGATTATAGGTAACGTAGATATTCATCCGAAATCCCCTATTCTTCTTAAGCTTCGAAATCATATTTAATAATATGTAGTGTCTTATATAGTCACGAAGCTATACTTAAAATTTTAAAATGTAAAAAAATCAGTCGAAATTGGCTTTAAGCCTCTGTAACTCCGAACCTATTGAGCTGTAAACATCGTCTCCATACAAAAGTTTTATTTACTCAAGAATAATGGTTTATATCAGTACCCTTTGTTACGATACACCCCGTATAAATACATGTATGTACTTTGCGATAATAAAACAAAAAGATTTCGAAATTTATTCAAGTAATAATTTCTATTACGTATTTAAATTAATAAAATTTAGTTAATTTCGTCCCCGTTTCAAAAAGTTTTTTGTTAGATAATCAAATACGATATATAATTTTTTTTTGTAAGGATCAAAATAGGAAAATAAGGACACAAAATTGAAATTATAGCACACCAATTCTGAAGCTTTATCAACTAATTAACATTAATTATTAATTTCCAACTAATTTATTATTGATAATTGATGAAACATAATAATTCTATTAAAAATAACAGCTTTTAAAGTAAAATTAAAAATCATAATTTTAAAAACATAATTATTCGACCCATAATTTTCAATATCATTTAATTTATATTATAATTTTTTTATCGAATATACTATATAGAAAAACTATTTCATCTCTAAAATATAACAATTTACGGACATTATCATCATGATATTATTAACAACAAATTTGTTAAATTATTTTAAAATTGAAAACTAATCAAAAACTATTTTCACTTAGTTTTACTGTGGTGTCTAAAATACAATAATTATAAAAAATTTTACTTATTATAAAAGTTTCTTATAACAACAAATGGTATATCACATTAATAATTTAGTAGTGAAAATGAAAAGTTCATATTGAAGGGGCTTCTAATTGCAAACTTGTAATTAAATTTTTAATTAATTATCAGGGAAACTATGCATTTTAATTCCGAAATGTGATATATCATTTACATAAAATTTAATTTAATAAATATTAATTTTGTAATATATACAAAAAATATACTTAAACCTTGTATATTATTCTACTATAGAAAGTTTGTATAACATTACAATTATCCTTCCTTACTAACACTAAACTCATATACAACATATAACATTTTAATTTTTAGTTTTTTCTTATATCATTTTTTTGTGTAAAATTAATTATTTTTTAATTTCACATATAATATATATATATACATTCATACATAGTTAATTACAAATAAAGATCATATTATAGTATGTGTAAATACAAATACATATACAATATTGTTGTTATAACAAATATTTATAAGTATAGAAACAATTCTAACAAAATCATTTTAATTATTTTATTACATTAAATTTTTTTTTTGTATATTTTATTTTATAGTGTTGGATTGTCACCACCAATGTATACAGAATTATTACCAGGAGATAATTTAGCTCTTATCATTCCGTTCCTTCAAGATTCAATGGCTGGACGTTATTATTGTTCAGCATCATACGCAAATAGTAATTTATTACAAACAAGTGTACAAGTTGAAACTTTCGGTAAGTTTTATTTGAAACTTGAAATTATTACTTAATTCGAAAATATTACATTGCATATATTTAGGCAAAATACAACTGTTCTTAAGTTGCTTTAAATATTGACAGAATAAATATGCATATTTTTTTTTCATGTAGTCGCTATAACATGGATAGATGCTCCAGAGAAACAATATCCAGTACTTGGTAATGATCATAAAGTTAGATGTAAAGTAGAAGCTAATCCATCGCCAACAGTCGACTGGTTACGAAATGAAGATCCTGTAAGTTTTCTTGAATACATTTTTTTTTTAAATCTAAATTTAAAACTAAAACTTATATTTAATAATATTAGATAAGAACTGGAGCCAAATATGTTATAGAACCTGATGGTCTTTTAATTAAAAATGTTCAAGAATCTGATGATGGATTTTATACGTGTCGTGCACTTGTAATGCAAACCGGTGATCTAGATGAACGTCATATTCGTGTTGAAGTTTACATAAAGCCGGTAATACATGACCTTAGACCAGAATTTAAAGCAATTGAAGGTCAATCATTTTCGGCCTCATGTAATGCAACAGGAAAACCTGTACCAGAAATATCATGGATAAAAGAACAATCACAACAAAATGTTGCAACAGCTGATCGTTTTCAAGTTGATTCACAAACTGGTCGTTTAACGATAACAAATGTTGAGAAAAAAGATCATGGCGTTTATACATGTATGGCAAGAAATGCAGCTGGTCTTGCAGAACAAGCAACTAAAATTAGTGTACAAATAAAACCAGAAATATTTGAATTATATAATAGAACTGGTGTACAGGGTAAAGAAATTGCAATAACATGTAGATCAAAAGGACGACCAGCACCAGAAATAACATTTAAAAGATGGGGTAGTGATGAAGAATTTGTAATTGGACCGCAACCAGATGATGATAGAATTATTTTAGAACAACATTTTGATCAAGATGCCGGTGAATCATCTGGTACATTAAGAATTACAAGCTCATTAAGAACTGATGATGGCTTATATCAATGTATTGCTAAAAATCAAGCAGAAACAGCATATAAAACTGGTCATATAACTGTTGAATATCCACCAAATTTCGATCATATGAAAGATTATCCACCAGTATTTAGCTGGGAAGAACGACCAGCAAATTTAAGTTGTTTAGCTATGGGTATACCAAATGCAACAATTGAATGGAGATGGAATGGTCGTATAGTTAAAGATTTAGTAGATAAAAATTTAGAAATAATTGGTACTGGACCACAAAGTAGTTTAATTGTTAAACCAGTAGCTCGTCATTATTATTCTGCTTATAAATGTATAGCAACAAATACGCATGGTGTTAAAGAAATTGATATATTATTAAAAGAAGCTAGATTACCGGACTACGTTCCATCTGCACGTGTAAAAGTTGTTACTGCAACAACAATGACATTTGAAATAATATCACCACCAACTGAAAAAGGTCTACCAATATTATCATTTAAAGTACAATATAAAGAAGAAAATGGTTTAAATGATTGGAATAATGCACCATCACGTATATGGTCAGCTGATAGTCCATATATTGTTGAAGGTTTAAGGCCACAAACATCATATATATTTAGATTTGCAGCAACAAATATGGTTGGTACAGGTGGTTGGGGTGCAACAGTAACACAATCTACACCAAAACGTTCAGCACCAGAAGAACCAAAAGTATTACATTCACCAGTTAATGATGATGAAGCTGAACCAATTGTTGTATCACCTTATTCAGATCATTTTGAATTAAGATGGAATGTACCTGCTGATAATGGTGAACCTATTGATTTTTATCAAGTAAAATTCTGTCCGGTAAGTTTAATAATTGATATTGTCCCTAAGTATATTTGATGAGAAACATAAAATTAATGCTAAATACTTTTAAAATAATTATTTTAAAAAGCAGATAATAAAAATTTCATTATTTTAAAATAAAAATTTAAAAAAAAAAATGAAAGTAAGTAATTTAGGCTCAGATATAATAATGGAATTACTCAATTTATATATTAAAAATATTTAGACTATAAAAGTAAAATTTATGAGGAATGTTTGTTCAAAGGCTGAATTAAAAATTTGTAATTCTATAATTAAAATTAATTTCTATTAAATAATAAGTTTAAAACTTTCAGAAAAGAGAATCTTTATTATGTAAAACAACACTAAAAATATGTATTGTTACATTAATAAGGCTTGAAGAAATAAGTTGCGGTTATGGTTGTCTGAATTGGGTAATTTTCTGAAAAAATAGAAATTACCATTTATGCTTATTAAACCGAAATCCAAATATTTTATTAATTTAGAAAGGATAAATCTAAAAATTCCCCCAAAATAATTTTAATTAATTTAATTTTATATGCTTAATTTTTATATACCTTCAATTATATTCAATTATACTTGTTAGAGAATAAGCGATCTAATTAGCCAAATGCTTTCGATTTTTAAATTAATGCATTAGTATTAGTGAATCATATTACACTTTCGATTTTAATAAAAAAGTGGGCAGCCATATTTTAATTACATTATTAAAATATCACTGAAAATTGATCATATAGTTTTCTGATCTATAAATTTCATACTAGTCATTTTAAAAAATGATTCAATTTTTTAGGTGTTTGGTCAAAAGGCGGTAAACTATTTTACGAAAATTTTATATATAAAATAATAAAAATTTCTTCAATAAATATTATTTTTGTTAAACAGAATAATTTTAAACAAATGCGCTTTTTGAACAAACACACCTCATATATTATTATTACGCATATGTTTGCATTTTAAGCTTTATGTAGACTGCAACATTTTAGATCAAAATTATAGGCGAAACAAATTATATAAATATAGTGTGAAAAAATTTTATGAGAAAGTTTTAAAAAAAACCATTTCCCATTTTCTACGATTCCAGACACCTACATTTTCGTCACCTTGTACATTTTTGTTCACAAACTCATATACGATTTTTAAATCAGATTTTCATATTTTTTTGAAATTAAATACCAACTCCCGTAGTAAATAACAAATTTTAGTATTAAATGTGATTTATTCTACATAAAAGTATGCAATTCAAATTTTAATTATATTTAAACGTGTTGAGTGTTAATTTCTTCTAAATTATACTGTTATATAATAATTTAAAAAAACACACTATGTACTATATATAACATTAAAATCTAAATAAAATAATGATTAGAAATTTTTAAAATACAAAATATTAAACATTAATAAATATTTTCTTAATTATCATTAATTTTATTTTTAATTTTTTATTCTCCCTCTTTCTCTCTCTTCTTTATAAAAATAATGTTAATTAAAAACAGGGTCAAAAAATTAGTGGTACATGGAATGAAAATGAACAAGATTGTAGATCACGTGATGTCATTGAAACAACAACATTTGAAATGTCACAATTAAGCGGGAACACATATTATCGTATTGAATTGAGAGCACATAATGCAATTGGTTTTTCAACACCAGCAAGCCTATATATGAAAACAGCACGAGGTGAGTTCGATGAATCTGATACTGCAAATTTTAGAAAATTTTTGTATACATCTGGTTTTGTTTCGGCCGCTAATCAGATATTTACTTCTACCACTACTACTACTACTACTATTATCATGATAATAACTACTATATTGACAACAACAATTACATCTACATTATTTACAAGCTATTATTCTTTATTTCAATAATTTTTTATTTTATTTTATTAATTTTTTTTTTTTTTAACTTTTCAAAATTATTAGTTTTTATTTTGTTTTTTTTTTTTTTAATTTTATTAAACATTACAAAAATAAAACAAGATTTTAATTCACAATAAACAAAAGAAAACATCTTAAATAAAATTATTAAATTAATTAAAAAAAAAAAAAAAATTCGCTATAAAATCGCTATTTTTTCGAGCTATTTGCGATTCCAAGCTCAAACTTTCAATTCAAATTTAATGTTAGCTGTGAAATTTTAAATTTAAAAATAAAAATTATTTAATTTTAATATTAATATTAAAATTTAAATGAAATTATTAAAAATTTTGTTTAAAACATTTTTAATATAAAAAATTAAAATATTGCATAAATTTAGGCTCGTAATTATAATGCCTACTACTACTAAAATTTAATTTGAATTTTAAACAAAAAATCAATTTGTTCAAAATTCTAACAAAAATTGCAGATTATTATTTAAAATAATATTATTTTCAATTATCGTAAAAAATGATCGTAAATTAAGCAATTGTAGTGCGAATTTTTTTTTTTTTTTTAATTATCAATACATGAAAACTTAATAGCTATCGCCTTTATTTTTTTTTTTTTATTCATTATTTACTATAATTATTACTATGTGTATGTTATTATTGTATGTATGTATGTATGTACGTATGTAATGCTCGATTAAAATATATTTATGTAAATTGTAAATGTGCTCGTTCGTTTCTTCTTTTCTTTTTTATACTTATTATAATAATATGTAATAGATATGTGTCTGAAAAAACAAAAAAAAAAGAAAAATAACTAAAAAATTCACTATTTTTAATTTTAATTAAAATTTAATAATAAAAAATATTATTAAAAATTATTATTAATTTACATTTTTTTTTTGTTGTTTTTGAAATTCATAAAATATTATGGGGAAGAAATTAAATGTAATAGCATTTTCAAAATCATTTTACACAAACACGACAAAAGTCTTTATATTGTACACATAGAATATTTTTTTTTCTTATTATTTTCAATACATACTACAATATTAATGCATTCAAATAAAATAATGAAATATTTTAAAATTAAAATTTTTATTATTTTAATTTTGTACTTTTGTGCTTTTTCTATTTAAATATTTTATATTGTTCTATTTTATATTTCAACAAATAAATTCTGTATATTGTATAGTGAGAAATATTCGAGTATATACGATAATCATTTTGATAATTTAATTTTACATTTACAACTACAATTCTTTGATGGGCGGTAGTAGGAGTATAAGTCAAAAATATCAATTTTTCACTAGAGCAAAAAAACTTAATAAAATTGTTCACTTTTGCTTTGAACAATATATTTAAATGCATTTGTTTCAAAGGTTTGTAAGTTTCGTAGCGCTATGAGTTTTTGATAGACGATGTATTTTGAGCTCTAGATTACATTGGTGTACTTATCAGGTTTTTGCAAAAAATTGACTTATACTCCTACTACCGCCCATCAAAGAATTATTTCTGCTGTTCAGCAAAATTTCAATATATTTGAGTGTAATTTTAATGCATTCAAATTAATTATGTATAAACCTACTCATTTGTAATTAATTTTTCAGTATAATTCTATACAGTATACAATAACCCAAATAATGTTATAATTATTGCATACTTTTAGGTATTTAATATGCATAAAATATGATAAAATTTCATTTAAAAAATTTTTCAAATTTTTAAGATTATCTTTCTTGTAATTGAGCTACACAATTTGAGATTTGAGAAAAATATAAAAGTAATTAAAATATTAAAAAATTTATTTAATATTCCATAAAATGTTATGATTTTTAATAGAACAAAAAATTTAATATTTTCTTAAATAAAAATAGATAATTTTTTGATTCGGTAAAATTTTCATGAATACCAAGAAAAAGAAATGCTTACTTTTCAAATATCTACTCTCATTTAAAAAAAAATTAATAATTTTTTTAACTCAAAATTTCAATATAAAATTTAAAGATAATAAGCGCATCTTTTACTCAATATACCTTTTTTATTTTTTTAATTTTATTAATTCAATATACACATATTATGCACAAATTATATTTTACATTATTATATATAATTTTATTTAAAAAATTCATACACTTAACTTAAAACATAGAGAAAAAAATTAATGAAAAATAAATAAAATATAAAAAAAAAAATTTTATTAAAGGCGATACTATATAAATATTTTTTCAATCATTATCGCAAATTATCAAATATGAGCTAGGATCAATTTAGAAACAACGATATTTTATTAATAGGTTTTATTAATATTTTCCAAAATAATTTTAATCGATTTTTTTTGCAAAAAAGAAAAAAAATCTATATAGAATCAAATTTAAATTAAATTCCAATTTACAAAATTAATAAAATAAATAAATTTTAATTTTTATTAATAATGCATCGAAATCAATATTTAATCGATAATATATAAAAATGAGTGTAATAATCGATAAAATAATGAGTATATTTTACATCAAAAAAAATGAAAAAAAAAAAACATTAAAGATTAGATTCTTTTGAATTCAACAATGTTGGGATATTTAATCGAGTAAATTCAGCTAGATTAAAAAAAATACAATGTCATTTTATACCAAATTTCAAAAATTTGGATTAATTTAAAGGAGCTCAATTAAAAAAGCAAAGATTATTTAATTTGCAATTGTTGAATAAAATACATGTGACACAATATCTATGTATATCACACAATGAAACCTGTCTGTGAAAATGAAACCTTAAGAACTTTTTTTTTCAAAAATTTCAAAATGCTTTTTCAAAACGTTATTTTGCCAAAAATGCACTTGGTTATGCTCTTTTAAAAACTCAGTGCAAAACTAAAAATCCACTCAGTGCAAAACTAAAAATCCACTCAGTGCAAAACTAAAAATCCACTCAGTGGAAAACTAAAAATTCAAATTCGGCATTAAAAATCGTAATATTCCCAACACTTGTTTTTCAATGTACAAATTGAATAAAAATTAAAATTAACTACTCGAATAATTATTAAAAAATTTTCAATTTCTAAATATATATTAATTCAAATAAAATCAATTAATTGATTCTTGTTCAACTAATTTATACTCATTGCTTTTGGTTAATATTATTCTTAAACATATTCAAAATAATATAAAAGAAAATAATATTTCTTAATTTTCTTTCAAAACTCTTAAAAATTCAAAATTTCTAAATTATAGGTCAAAATTTCCAAACCAATAAAAATTAATTTTGCTCAAAATTTACACTCAAAAAACCATTTCAAAATCCCAGTAAATATTTTCGTTTACAAATGAGAAACAAAAATAAAAAACAAAAAAAAATTACTCTTGTTTCTCTTTAATTTTAAAACTAGAATCGAATTAAAAAAATCGAATTGAAAAAATCGAATTGAAAAAATCGAATTAAAAAAAAAGAAAAAGGACAAACTGTGAATATACATTCAATTTCTATTCTATTCAAATAAAAAAAAAAAAATAAATAAACAACCAATATAGTTTTTAAATTTTAGTATCTAATTAATTTTTTTATTTTTAATTAAAAAAAAAAACAAAAAATTCATATATTTTACATATTTAATATAATTATATTTAAATAAAGACAAAACTTAATTAAATAATTCTGTTTAATTTTTTTTTGTTTTTCTCAAATTAATAATATAAATAATTATTAATAAATATAATAAGTCTTTCGTTTTTAATATTTTAAATATTTTAATTACCATATAAGAATAATTCGTAAAAAATAATTTTTTTTTAATTAATGTATAAAAAATTTTTTAAATAAGAAAATCATTTAATATTATACAAAATGTGTTAAACACAAACGACATGAAAACGAAATAATTTTAAAATATAATTTCAATAATATAAATTAAAATAATATAGAATATTATGTTAAAAGAAAACAAACACAAGATTTCTTGATTTTAAAAAAAATATTTTTAATATTAATTTTTTATTTAATTAAAAATAATGTATAAAAAAATCAACAACAAAATTTAAAAATAAATAAAAAAAAAATAAGTAATAATTAAAAAATAAAATATAAACAATAAAAAAAAAAAAATATGAGGTATATTCATTTCGGTTGACAACATCCCAGTAAACTTAGAGACCTCATTTTTTTATTTCAATTTTAAATTTTTTTTTTTTTAATATAGAATTTTTAATTTTTAAACATCATTTTTTTTTATCATATAATTTTAAATACACATCCAATATATACATAAAATATAATTCTATATATATTTTTTTAATTTTACATTTTAATTTAAAAAATAATACATAGAAAGAAAAGAAAAAGAGAAAAAAAAAGAGAATTTAAAATTATCTGTGTGTGTATGTATTTTGTATAATTGTCAATTATTGTTTCTTCTTTATGTTTATTTCTATTTTTTTTTTTTGGTTTGTATAAGTAAAATATAATAAGTAATTTTTTATTTGTATATGTTAGGAAATTAAAATAAATAATAAATTATAATTTTATTGTAATACACCTTCTCTATTATACATATAATAATTTATAATTAAATAAAAATTATAAAAAAATATAAAAGAGATTTTATGTTTAAACGTATAATTACAAAATTTATTTTTTATATTTTATTATTTTATAATTTCTTATCTTTATTTTTTTTTTTTAAATATTTTTCTTATTTCTTAATTTTTATTAATAATTTTTTATTTTATTTCATATGAATTTTATGTAATTGTTGATTCATATTATTTCATTCAAAAATAAAAATAATAATTAGTCAAAGTTATAGCTTTGTGTGTTA